AAGACTGAGTGTGGCAGCATCATTTCCGGGACACCTGAGATTTTGAGTGAGATTGCACACGGGCAGCTGTACACATCATCTTTGGAGCCACACGCAAGTGTGAGTATCGATCCAAGAGCAAGTCTTACCCGACACTATTCCGATGATATCCCGGACGTCAGTCTGAGCGAGATTAGAATGGCTCTCCAGCACCTTAAAAACGGCAGGGCCCCAGGCGAGGATGGAATTACAGCGGAGCTACTGAAAGCGGGGGGAACACCGGTACTTGAAATCCGTCAGAAGCTCTTCAATTCCGTCCTCCATGGTGGCACTACTCCGGAGGCGTGGAGCAGAAGTGCGGTGGTCTTGTTCTTTAAGAAAGGCGACAACGTTCTCTTGAAGAACTACAGACCGACCCTTCTGAGCCGCGTCTACGTGCTGTTTTCGAGAGTCATTACGAATCGTCTCGCACGCAGACTCGACGACTTCCAGCCTCCCGAACAAGCCGGTTTCCGAAAAGGCTTCAGTACCATAGACCACATACATACCCTGCGGCGGGATTGTACAGAAGACCGAAGAGTACAATCTGCCACTTTGCCTGGCGTATGTGGTCTATGAGAAAGCCTTTGATTCCCTCTAAATTTGGGCGGTGCTACAGTCTTTCAGCTGTGCCAAGTTGACTGTCGATATATCGAAGTGCTGAAGTGTTTGTAGAGTAGGGCTACGGTGGCTATCCGAGTACAGAACCAGAGTTCGAAACCTATCCAACTCAGAAAGGTGTAAGACAGGGTGACGTTATATCCCCGAAACTCTTCACCGCTGCATTGGAAGACGTTTTCAAGCTACTGGACTGGAAAGGATACGGTATTAACATCAATGGCGAGTACATCACTCACCTTCGATTTTCCGACGATATAGTCCTTATGGCAGAATCGCTGGAGGACCTTAGCACTATGCTCAAGATGAACATGGACAAAACAAAGATCATGTTCAATGTCCATGTCACACCTATGCCGGTAGTTGTTGGGAGCACTATGCTCGAAGTTGTTGACAAGTACGTTTACCTGGGACAAATAGTCCGACTAGGTAAGTCCAACTTCGACCGAGAGGTCAATCGACGGATTCAACTCGGCTGGGCAGCGTTCGGGAAATTACGACACATCTTCTCGTCAGGTATACCTCAATCTCTGAAAACTAAAGTGTACAACCAGTGCGTGTTGCCAGTGATGACTTACGGATCAGAGACATGGTCCTTCACTGCTGGCCGTATGAGGACGCTCAAGGTCCCAGCCTATGGAGAGGGCTATGCTCGGAGTTTCTCTGCGTGATAGACTCAGAAATGAGGATATCCGCAGTAAAACCAGAATGACCGACATAGCCCAACGGATTAGTAAGCTGAAGTGGCAATGGGCCGGCCATATAGCTCGAAGAACCGATAACCGATGGGGAAGAAAGGTTCTCGAGTGGCAGCCTCGTACCGGTAGGCGTAGTGTAGGGCGACCCCCCAATAGATGGAGTGACGACCTGGTAAGACATGCAGGAAGTCGATGGATGCAGGTGGCTCAGGACCGTGCTTTGTGGCGTTACTTGGGGGAGGCCTATGTTCAGCAGTGGACTTGTGAAGGGCTGTAATGATGATGATGATGAAAACACCTAGACCAGCTACGGGCAGCAGCGACAAAGGTGTAAAACGTCTGGCAACACTAGCGTTGCGATTGAGACAAATCCTTGCTATAACGGAAAACCCATGTCCAGCACTTGACTTACGGGCTCCTACTCTTCTTTAAGAATTTTTTTATAGTACTGGGTGACGAACGAACACACAGTGCACCTGATGGTAAGTGGTTGCTGTGGCCCATAGACATTGCTAATCGAAATGCAGATGCGTTGTCACCCCTGAGATTTAAGATGGAATGCCTCGATTCCAGTAGAAATCGTCTCCGTTTCTCTACTACACTATCCAGACGAAACACAGCAGCATTACGCTGCTATTTTACGCTGTTACGCAGTATTCTGTGAGAGTGTGGTACTTACTCGGTCGAACCTTGTTTGAGCTGACCTATTTTTTGTGCTAGAACTATAATATAGCTGCTGCTTAGATCACCTGGGCGAATCGTTTCAGGCTATTATTTTATTTACGAGAACTATCCTACTATGCTTAATTTGTCTCTGTTTTGACATAAAATAATCTTTTCAATATCCGGGTCGCTCATTAAAATCCGAGTTTCCTTTATCTACCATTATATCGCGGTATAACAAATAGAGTAAATGCAGACATTAGTCGCGTTGGGATTTGTGGAGTCGGGTACACTCAACACAGTACTCGTAATTTTACGCTTATAACTAAAGCGCTAACAAATTAAAAAGACATGCTCGTGTATATTTTTATTTTGTTTACGCATCGTATAGCGTAATACGAGAACAATTATAAACGAAATTTAATTTGTTTAGGTATACTTTTATTACGAAGTTGATTAACGCTATAGATGCAGAAGACTGAACGTCGCAAAAAGGAAGATGATAGGAACATTTATCATTATTAATTAGCAATACACATTGCCATTTAGCATCTCTCAGTTACTAATAAATTTTCATTGACGAAAATGTAACAGCCACACCGTTAACTTAAGGTTACCCTACACGTACAAACTTGAAACAACTTTTTGTAGGTTTTCAGATACTTATTTCGTGCCCGTTGCTTACACCGCCGCAGTTAAATGCAACCAAGCAATCATTACTAAAGTAAATTATTAAAACTTATTAATCATTTATTTTTAACTGGTGTAAGTTTTTATATGAGTAAAATAATTTATTGTAATTATAATAATTTACTTAATTTCGCAACTTTTATACTTCTATATGTACATAATATATAGACTACAGACTTGATACTTACTTTTATATAAGTTATATAAAAGCAAGTATATAATATAATATAATATATTTGTATTATACTTTGCATTTTATTTAAACTGTTTGAAAACATTCAATAATATTCAAGTTGGTGAAATTGGAGACAATGCATACTTCAAAAACTCACTGAGCCAAAGAATATTTATAACATTCGATTGCGACGTACAATCGAAAACTACATATTATATAAAATGATCTCGTCTCGGTATAATTTTCTTGTTAGATGCCCACCTTTTATCGACTTGCATATAAAAATAATAATAATAATAAATAAAAATAATATGTTTATATTTTAAATTTATTGAAATATGTTTAAATGTTTCTATGTTATTTTTGTTTCTTTATATAGTTAATTTAAGCTACTCGATATTCGAAATTAATAGGGATAGTAGCTATGTGGTACGTAGGTCCTATTTTATATGCCTCATTTACCTATTATAGAAAGAACTATGTACATTCGCATAACGGTTTTGACACGTATTTATGTATAATCAATATTTATATAATTTAAATTTCTGTACAATGATATTTTACACCTATGTGAGTCTTTCAAATGCAGGGAGCTCACGACAATGTTATATGGCATGTGGTAGGTAGGTCCTAATCCATATGACTCATCTACCTATTATAGAAAGAATTATAGTGTATTATATATATTCGTATAAAGGTTTTTGACACGTATATAATCAATATCTATATAATTAAAATTTCTGTACGATGATATTTTAGACCTATGTGAGTCTTTCAAATGTAGGGAGATCACGACCATGTTACATGGCATGTGGTAGGTAGGTCCTAATCCATATGACTCATCTACCTATTATAGAAGGAATTATAACGTATTATATATATTCGTATAAGGGTTTTTGAATGTAATCAATATTTATATAATTATAATGTTATTTTAGACATTTGATGGTATTTTAGACGTATGTGTCTTTCAAATGCAGGGAACTCACGACCACGTTATATGCATTTATTGGGGGAGGCTTATGCTTATCAGTGGACTTGTGAACGGTTGTAATGATGATGATGCTGAGTAAGCGCGAACACACTTACCTTGTCTTACACGTGAACGATGTAGTGCTCTAATATAACGGGCGATAATGTCGTAGTAGACTAGCCATTTAAAGACCACGAGAACTGAACGTATTTTAATGATGATGAAGTGAAAACTACCGTGGATGGACTTCACATGTTAAATTACTTTAACAACCTTTTTAAATCGACTACTGGACAAAGGCCTTTCTAGTCAGCTGCCATGCATTATTATTACATGAATAGGTGAACATCGCAAATTGTCTACTTTTTTTTAGTTTTCGTTATAAAAGGAGAGGAACGAATTATTATAATTCGAAATATATTGTGCCATTATATGCAGAAAAAATGTGTGTAACATACAGCGATGATATACGAGAAATGAGATAGTATAAGGCAGCTGTCATGAGCCGTTGCTCATGAAAGCTGCCTTATACCTGCTAGATTGAATTACATGGTAAGAGATGGAGGAAGTCGATGGACTGTTATGGTTATGATGATGATGATGCCGTTCAAACAGGTAAAATAAACTGATCATATACACCTTATTTGTCCATACAAAACGTTTTCACTAATTTAATGGTCGAATTTCAACCAAACGATACTAATATAATTAATAGAATTCAAAATAGTATTTATTTAGGTATTTAAAAGATGAGATCAAATTTACCGAGCTAGGTAGGCGGATTCAATATCTTCATACTGGTAATGCTGTTCTCCATCTGTATGATGGTACTTCAGAATTTTTGGATGGATGTTCCGCTATTAGTCATATGTAAAGTTATTATTTTAGATTAACAATTTCTGTTACCTATATAAATATTTAAGACAAGCGCCTAGGCTGAGCAGATATTTTTATTTTTCTAATCTTAAAGTGCTATCTATATTCGTGATAGTTATTTGTTACTATAGCCTATGGTCACCTGGCATCCACTTCAAACAAAGAAAGTGACCTCTGTGTTTGGACTAAGGTGGAAGGGCGGATCATATGCTTTAGAATATAACACAAAAGTGGATGTATATTTTGCTAATATACCTACTAATCAATACTGTTGTTTTTCTGTTGACAGGTAAATTCGAGCCGCATCCAGCTGCAAGTTTTAACATGGGCTACCTCGTGACACCTTACCCCTATCCCAATGGTGGAGCGCATCCCCTGCCCGTCTCTATGGTAAGTTTATTTTTATTACTAAACTACGTCAAATCAGTACATGTTAACTTCGGATGGAGGGTAAAGTTATTGTACAAATCGAAGGGTTGTATATTTTTCGCTATCTAAATTATTCGTTTTGTGTACCTTAATTACTTGCAGTGTTACCAATGCTCATCTATTGACTAATTTGTATAATATTCTAAATTTATTTACTTTATGACTATTACCTATATTAACCTGCTATTTGCAAATATGCGAATACTGGCTCCCTTAAGCCCATTTTTAAACAATGATAACTAACATTTATGGGATAGCGAAAGTGGAAGTGGCTGTTGACAATACTTTTCCTTCATTTTCTTCTAACAACTTCTTCTGTCAAAATATCATTAAATAAAAAAATACACTAACAATATTTAATATAACAAAGGTAAAGTCATTTCCATGAAAATATATATCAACGTAGCTGAAAACCAAACTATTTTCATTATAATGAAAATTTCGGGAAACAAGGAAGGAGAAGGAAGAACACAACATTACTATTTAAAAATGTATTTATTGCTTTTCGAAGTATTCTCCGCGAAATTTGAAACATTTTTACATACGATGGAACCAATCATTGAAGAAACCATTCCATTCGGAAGTTGGGGTCTCCAAAATGGCCATTTTGTAGGCGTCCACAGCTTCTTCATGTGATGAAAATCTCTGTCCACGCAATTTATTCTTTATTTTAGGGAAAGTATAGAAATCATCAGGGCTTAGGTCTAGGCTGTACGGCGGATGGTCTAATAATTCTATGTTTTCTTGCTCTAAAAACTCTTTTGTTCTGTGTGCGGTGTGAGAACTCGCATTGTCGTGATGGAGGTTGATGCGTCGGTTGCAGTTCTCTTTACGGAGTTCAGAAACTACCTATGGCAAACAAATGCTAGCATACCATTCTGCATTAACCGTTCTTTGTCCCTCAAGAGTAATAGTCGTAACATGGCCGGTTTTGGAGACAAACGTGGCCACCATTTTTTTAAACTCCGTGAACGAACAACTTTGTTGGCTTTAACTCATTTTCGAACACCCAAACTCGTGACTGGTTTTTTGTTTCGGGTTCATACGCGTATATCCAGGATTCGTCACCTGATACGATATTGTATACAGCATTTGAGGATCCTGCGTGGAATCTTTCGAGAGTTCTGACGCACCAAGTAACGCGCTTTTTGCTATTTGCTCTTCACAGAGCGAATGCGGTATCCATCGGGAAAACAACTTTTTTTAACACCTAATTGTTCATGCAAGATTATTTGTATTTGCCTCATGCCAATGTCTAAAGTTGCCTTAATTTCGCGGTATTTGTCACATGTCAATCTTCCTCAATCAGCTTACGCACAGCATCAACATTTTCTTGGGTGACTGCAGTTTTTGGACGACCTTGACGGGGATCATCAATGAGCTTGACACGTCCACGTTAAAATTCAGCAAACCAGCGATAAATTGTGGTTTTGGATGGGCTTAATCACCAAATGCAGAAATCATCCGGTCAACACACTGTTTTTGTGTTAAACCACTACGAAAGTCATAATAAATCATCGCTCTTGAATTTTCTCGAGTCAATTCCATTTTCTCAACGACTAAACAAGTTTGACAAAACCTTGTGACAAGACCGAGAATCTTTTTTTAAATAAATAAATGGTATTCGATTTATAAAACCAAGGAGTTTTCAATTAAAAAGATTTTAATATGACACGAACAGTGGAAATATTCCATTCCCGATACTTTTAGTGCAGCCTAGGTATTTTATTTGTACAGCCTCAATGACTTAAGTCAAAAAATGTCTAAATTCAAAATAATAACACCAAAAATTCCTGAAATAAAAATAATAAATCTCACACTAAATAAAGCTAATCTAAAGGAAAAAAATAAAAACTTGTACTTGAAGCACAATGGATGTTACTCTTATAAAAATTAATTAGTTTCTTGTATTGAATGTTTTCCTTTGTTACAAATATCTTAAAGATATTTTTTTACTAATATCTATTTCTCTAACGGCTATAGAAAGGTAATCATTTTCTTAGAGATAATAAATTTGCTTTAATGCAAAGTAATTTGTTTTTTTTTCTGAGTAATCTCTTTTTTTCGTGTGGGTATTGAATAATTCAATACTTGGAAAATTCCCAATCATTTTACGTTATCATATCGAAAGTCTAAATGTTGTAGATACAGTCTATCTTATTATTACTGAAAAGGTGATGGAGGTTGTTATTAACCCCTCACGATGCTTCATTGCGTAGGTATTGGCGGTCTTGATCTATCCTTGACATATCCTTGACATATTTTATTTCTTAGTCATGCAAATTTCCGCTCGAAGTTTTCCTACATCGCCGAGCAAGCGGTAAATCAGTGCTTAGAGTTCAATTAATTTCCTTGGTGTCCGCGAGAATCGAACCCTAGTTGTATACGTTCTATGACTTTTACGGCGAGCGCGAAGTCCCTGAGCTATCCGGCACATTATTGTACTAACTCATATCGTGCATACGATTAGCACCGTATGAAAATGTTTAAAATACAAAGCAGTATTACTTACGTAGAGCTACTTCGCAATATCAAGAGTTATTTCTGACGCGCGTATTAAAACACTTCGAGATATTTTATCTAATCGTAATTCTCGTGTCCAACTGGGAAACATGTCAATTATGCGCTTTCGATACTTCACATTTATCGTCAATTCTATCTATCAGAATTCTACACTAGTTACCGCCGGCGGTTTTAGTCTTTGAATATATGGAAATCAATACTTAATTATAACTTATGGGATGAAGGACATTTGAAAATTTAATGTGAATACTGTTGCCAAAGTAGAAATGAAGTCTTTTTCTGATTTATTTTTTGTGGCAAGAAGTGAATAAGATAATTTATGTACAAGTCTTTAGGGGTTCCATTGTACTTTAATTTTACATTTTTAAATCCATCACCATAGAATACCTCATAATTCTATGTCCATCATATTAACCTGTATTTAGTTTGTGACTTAAGCGTCTAAACGCCAAGTATTTTTGTGGAACTTTTGTTGAACAACAGTTATCAACATTGTTTCTGTTAATATTTAACGTTAAAATTTTTGCCCGCAAAGCCTGTTTACAACAAAAATATTGCTAAAGAAAATAACGTTATTGTGATCTCGGTACTTAGCGTAAGAACCAAATTTACAAAATGATGGTGATGGTGGGTAGGAAAATTTTCCGTTGCGAAGAGAAAAATTTGACGACTACCATCAAATGTCAGATAGATCATAGTTTCCTTATAATTTTTGAAAATAATTATTATTTGCATCGTCATTTTTTTTCCTTATTTTTTCTTCTTTTTTGAAAAATCTATACAATAATGTTTTTGTTGTTTTTAACTCAATCAACATTTTGTAATTGTAATTTGTCTATACGTACCTTATATACATCAACTTTCTAAATACCTTGTTCACGCATATTTAAAATTGTTGCTAAATTAATGTTGATGTGTGCAGGACTCTTTTTTTGCCTAATAGGACGTCTGGGTAGCGATGCTTATACTCCTGTGTTCTGTTCTGATTGTAACATCTATATATAAGTAAGTACTACGCACTAGATATGGCATTCCGAACACTCACTATGTTCAACTGAGCTTCGATATTCATGCAGTGCGGAGCAGCACTAATAATTATTTTATATTAAATTAGCACATAATATGCAAAATAAACGAAAATTAAAAAATACACGATTAACAATACAATCTAAATAAACAATTATTTATTATGGCAATTTTCGCGCATTTGTATCAACTGTGCATGGGCGACAGTACTGTCTCCCGCGCAGGCGCGGATACAGAGTAGGGCACTTTTTTTTGGAATAGCTTCTCTAGTACGTAGTACATATATTTCATTGGATTGTAAGTATTAGTAATCTGGTCTGAAGTATAACTACAGACTGTAAGGCTGTAAGGCATTCCAACTCAGTCCTCAAAAGTTACAACGCATCTGTAGCCTCCTTCCTTTGAAGTTGATTGTAAGTTTGTTTGTTGTTTTAAAGTTATAAAAAAATCAAGATCATAATATTATATGTTAGTATTTTTGTAACATATCTCATCTAATAATCTGTAAAAAAAAATGGGTATTATCTTGCTGTATGGAACATCGTTTTGTGTCGTAGACAGAGAAACCTATAGACAAATTGACGCCTTCTTTCGCATTCGCACACGAAAAAGATATATTTATGCATACGTCTTGCATAGAAATGAGACAGAGCGGTGTGATTGTTTGTCCCTTTCTCCGTGCCGGTTTTTTTAAGCAAACTACACTTTGCTAAACAACGTTGACAGTTCGTAGCGATAGTTCGAGCTTTGTGTTTTTGAGATTGGCGAATCTTGTTCAGTTCAGTTCTTAGAAAAATTAAAATTTTTATCTAAATATGTTTAAAAGTCATAAAGATTATTGTATAACCTAAAACTACGTTATCGTCCTTTCTCATTAGAGGCCACGCTAATCATTAGTCTATAGGTTTCCAGGTTATGTATTACAATTTATTGTTTTTCGACCATTGACTTATATATTACTTCCTTTTGTAATCATTGTTTTCGATAAAGAATCTCAATATTTTATATAAATAATAAATCGTATGAAGGAACAAAAGATTATAATTGAAATAAATATAATTTTCATACTTTATAATTGATCCTTGGTACAGCCATTCACAAGTCTACTGCTAATCATAGAAATGCCACAGGACACGGTCCTGAGTCACCTGAATCCATCGACTTCCATGTCTTACCAGGTCGTCACTCTTAACTACAATTTAGTGTTTGGAAATATACGACCACTTCTTAGTGATATTTACAAAGCTTATTATACCAGCAATATAATCAGTAGTATAATAAGTCAATGAGCGGAACGCTATTACAAATGATGTAAGGAATACATCGAAAATATTTCGTGTGACGTATGCATTTCACGATAATCCGAACAATCTTTTCTCAGAGAACTCCCTGGGGGAGAGGTAATGCCTGTA